GCGCCCGCCACAACACCCAGCTATTTTTTGGTTGCAGCCATTATTGTTGTTTGGTGGGCCGGGGCTGGATTCGAACCCACCACCTTAGGTGTATGTGGCTGGTGCCTTAGCCGCTTGAGCCACAGGCACCGAGCCCAGAGGAGTGTTTTTAAAGCACAAACCTAACCCTGTCCTTTCCCTACTCAGAACCATTCATGGCTCCCCAGAGCTCTCAACAGAAAGCCCTGGGTCCTCCCCAAAGCCCTGCACAATTTGATCCCTGCAGCCACTCAGAAAACTTCTTCCACCTTCTTTACTCACCTCCTCAGGTGCCAGGCTCTGCTCACTCTTGGGCCTCTGCCACCCAGTTTTTTCTGCCTGGAGTACCCTTCCCCTCTCTCCAAGGAGCCCAGGGATTACAGAGCAGGAAAGAGGAAGAAACAGAAATAGAAATAGCTTTCCTTCCACTTCACTAACCATTTCTCCTTTGCCTCTCCCTCTTGCACTTGGATTTGTCTTAGACCCTGTTCCTAGATAACCTTACACATTCCCAGGGCAATTCCAACCACAAGTTGATCACACTCACTCTCACTTCCTCTTTGAAACACTTCTAAAGTCCATTTCCACCCTTCTAGCCTGTCTGGCACCAGCCACCCCTCACCTCTCTACCATTCTAGTCTCCTTCCTGGTCTAGTCTTGTTCTGGTGTCATCTCTGCACAGTGGCTGGGGATCTCTTCTGGACACTGATCAAACTATGTCACCCCTTTCTGAAAACATTCCATGCCTCTCCACCACCCTCAGGACAACACCCATGCTCCCCAACCTAGCTTCCAAGGTTCTGCCTCTGGTCTCATCTCTCACCAGTCCTGCCTCCATGTCTCTGCCCCTGCCTGATCAAACTTCCCCACACTTTGGATCTGTTTCTGCTCCCATTGAAGGCCAACTCTCCTCTAGGGCTCTAGATCCTTCCCACCCTCCACCTTCTCCAGTGCTTTGCTGCTGCAAGTCTCCCCATTCTTCTGCAGAATCAATTCTATCTCTATTGGACCATACTCTACTCTCTTCCACCCCTAAAAGTATCTTCCCTTGACACCACACATTCCCCTCTTTTCATCCCCCCCCCATTTCTGCACTGCTCTTCAGAACCAAAATACTCCAAACGTTTGTCAACATTTGCTGTCTCCATTTCCTCTCCTCTCATTCACTCTTAGCAGGCTACCACTGCCATTATTCCCCAGCAACTGCTTTTATTAACGTCACCACCAACATCTATGGAGCCAAATCTAATGGTCAATTCTTGGTGCTCACATAGACAACATCTGACTCAGTGCACCAGCTCTTCCTTCTAGAAGCACTCTCTTCTCTCAGCTTTCCTTCCACTTCACTATTTCTCCTTTGCCTCTCCCTCTTGCACTTGGATTTCTGTCCTAGACCCTGTTCCTAAATAACCTTACACATTCCCAGGGCAATTCCAACCACAGGTTGATCACACCCAAATTCTTCTCCAGTCCAGACTAGCCCATCTAACCTACTCAATGTGTCCTCTTGAATAGCTAAATAAAATCCAAACTTGTCTTTGTAATGACTTATGAGACCCTGCACAATCTGGTCTCCTCCCAGCTCCCTGAAGTTCCAGCCATGCCAGCCTCCTTTAATTCCCTCACCCAGGGCCTTTGCACATGCTCTTCCACACACCTGTAACACTCCTCTCCAGTTCCCCTTCTCCAAGTTTCAGCTTAAATGCCTCCTCCTCAGTAAGGCCTTCCCTGTCTACTCTATATAAAGTAGCCTCCAACCCTTTTCCTCTACTTCATCACCCTGTTAGTTTTCTTTCAAAGCACTCATCACAATTTAAGCATTTTATTTATTCGTGTGTTTACTCAATGTCTGATTCTTCTGCTAATGCAAGCTGTCTAAGGGCAGGGCAACATCTGCCTCATTCACTGCTACATCCCCAGAGTGTAGCATCACCTTTGGCATATAACAGGTGGTTAATAAACACTTTTGAATTAACATATGAAGGAATGCCCCCACACCTCCTTCCCAAGATCTTAAGTCATGCTGTTCTTGGGAATGCCACACCTCTGCTCTCAAGGGCACCCCACATATCCCTTTTGCTCAGGTCACCCCAAATCCCCCACTTCTTGACCCCCCCACACCACCTTCTAACGATCTACGCCCCACCCCCACATTGCCTTAATAGGGCTGTCCCCTCTTTACTCCCCATTTGGTGGCATCCACCCCAGGTCTCCCCAGTTGCTAGCACCATCACTCCTCTGCCATATGTCATTGCTTGGTAGCGCCCTCTTCAGGTCTCATCACCAAGTAGCACCTCTCTAGATCTCAAGAGTTGGTAGCGCCTTTATTTTGGTCCCTCTCCCGCCCCACACTTGGTAGCGCCTTCCTCAGTCTCCCCACTTAGTAGCATCCACTCCATACACCCCTTCTAGGTATTATCCCTCCCTTGCAAAGCCCCCTATGCCGCCCCTCAATAGCGCCATCCTGGCCTCCCCACGCCAGGTCACTTGGTAGTGCCTGCCCCGCGCCCAGGCTGCCGCTCCGCGTTGCCATGGTTCCGCGCGGGCCCGGCACCCCTCGGCCTGGGCCGCTGTCCACCCTCCCTCAGAGGCAAGCATACCTTTGAAGTAGTCGTTGGCCTGCGTCTTGAGCTCCTCTGCCCGCTTCAGGGAGCCATCAGCTGGGGGCTCGTCCCGGGGGGGCTCAGCACACTCAGTCCGCTCGCCCTCCGCCATCGCCATGCCGCAAAGCGACCCCCACCCTGGCAACGGCCGCCAGCGGCACCGGGCCGAACCGTCGCGAAGGAGCGCCGGGTGGCTGCCGCCGCTGTCGCACAAGTGTCGTAAAGCGCGGGCCCCGAGGGCCCCCTTTGCGCGCTTGCGCAGGGTCCTCTTGCCACAGAGCGCGCGGAGAAGGTGACCACAGGGTACCCAGACGGCACCCCTTGTAGAATGAACCAATAGGGAAGGAGAAAGGGGCATGACAAGGGGGAAGACCTGGTGTAGCTTCTGCTCCCAAAGATACCAAGTTCTGAGGCCGCAAAAGTGTCTCAGGTCTTAAAAGTGGGGTTCCCCGCCGTTCCCTCCGATTGGTGGGTGGGTTGCAGATGCCACTGGGAGTAAAGCTGCAGCACAGTTCCCAACGCGGAACCGGAGCTGGGCGTCTAGCCGGACTGCCAATTGCCTGTGTGACCTTGAACAAATCTTCCCCTCCTCAGTTACCCCTCTATGGAAAATGGGTGGTTTCCCAAAATTAATTTCCAACCTGGAGGATCAGTGTTTCTAAGTTTTTAAGTGAAAGCAATCTGGGTCCCCAAGTCCTGAGCAAGACTTGGAAGTTTGTTACCCATATTTTTTCTCCTCCCTGTATTCACCTTCCTGAATCCTGCTGAATCTTCAAATTGACTCTCCTGCATGTATCTGTATTTTTTTTTCCTTTGTCTAGATCACAGTATCTGCCTTCTCTACTGTTTGCATTCAGCTTTCCTCCTCCAGTTTACCCTCCATATGGCAGCTAGAGGGATCTTTCTAAGACAAAATAAGACCATGGTACACCCCCCCCCCCAGCCTTCCGTGCCTCCCCAGTGCCTTTAGGAGAAAATCCACTCTTGATGACCTAGGAGACCCTAAATAGTCTAGCCTCAGGCAACGTTTCCAGATGTTGCCCCTTTCCATTAATCCCCACACACTGCACACCCTTCTAGTCCATCCCTTCCAAGCCCTTAGCTTCTGTTCAGAAGGAGCTATAGCTCTGAGTCCTTTAAGGCACTACCCTGGCTCCCCTCCTGGAAGCACAAGCTATCCCATCCCTAACCTCTTGTCCTATCTGATATCACCTCTCTGACCATTTCATGTCAATACACGTGCCAAAGGTTAAACTGCAAGGAAACGTCAGAACCAATGTCCCTCCTAATTCCTGTGCTCTTCATGACTACTATAAACCTGTATGCACCAGAGGGTTAGTAAATTTTTCTTTTGTTTTTGTTTTTTAGGCTACCTTAATGGATTTGAATCTTGGGTATAAGTCCAGCTCAGTCCTATCCTGGCTATGTGTCCTTGGGGAAGTGTTCACCCTCTCTGGGCCTCCTTTTCAACCCCTATAAAGTGAGGAATATGCCTATTATAGAAAATTAGAGGGGTATTTGATGAGATTACAGGAGTATAGCTTTTGGCAGGGGCCTGACACAGAGTAAGCACTTCTAATATTAAAATACTCAGAGTGTAGCAGAGTACCTAGTGCTGTGATAGGGGCAGGAGATTTCAAAGGGTTATGGGAAGACTTTGCCCAACTGGGGAGGTAGGGAAGACTCCTGGAAGAGGCAGTGTCTGAACCAAGATAACCAAATGAGGAAAGGAGGGAAAAGAGAAAGGCATTTAAGGCAGAAGGAACAGCAAGTGCAAAGACTTGAAAGTGGTTTTCTTCCCTTGAAAAGATTCTTGTGTAGACCACCAGAGAGAGGTTATGAGGGATATAAAGAGATATGACAGAAGAAACATACCAACTTGCACATGAATCTACAGACACACACTCTTTCCCCCACACATGCTCAGTTAAGTACATGGAATCAGGTCACATACATGTCAGTACCCAGAATCACAGTGTCAAACCAGTCCCATGCAAGTATGCAGAATCATGACATTGCACAGACATACACAAGTACCAAAAAAAAATACCTCCCACACTCAGGAACACAGAAACCCAAAGTAACCAGAGACACACATAAGGCAAAATCATTTCACCCAGATACTAACACATGTAGAAGGAATTACAACCCTCCAACAGGTTCACAGAATTATGTCACACAGACAACATGTATATACAGAATGACCACATCACCAGGTGCACACATTACATAGACCCTGTAGGAAGACAGTCACCCCCTCACACACACAGAACCAGAAAGTAACATGGACTTCCAACTACCTGGGGTACCCACACCTCCCCAAAGCGATCCCAAAGATGAGTCAACACACAAAGGTCTGGTGCCTACCAAGGTGAAGTCTTTATATGGTGGCATAGAGATTAGTGAGTTTCAGATCCAGCATGGCTGATCCAGTCTCTTCTCCTCCCCTAGACAAGCATAGCTCCCTCCCTTAAGGATCCATATCACCCCCTGAAGGAAGGAGGGGACAGACCCTAACCTCCCCCCCAGCATCAATTTGGACAGGTCACCTTTTGTCGAAAGAGAATTAGTGGTCCCTTCCCAAAAGGGTATGAATGGAGCTGAGAAGCAAAGGGCTTTCCCTGTGGGAGATAAAGGGTACCACCATTGTAGAAAGGGAGCTGAGAGGTAAGAGGGACACGTAAGTGCTGGCAGAGAGCTGAGGAGTCCTGGCCTCGCTCCCCACCTTGTGATATGCAGATAGGGCTGTGTGTGTGCCTGTGTGGCTGAAGAAGCCTTCTGGATTGTGAACCCCCCTAAGGGGATGAGGGAGCCCCAGGTTTCCCAGACATCTGGGGTAAAGTCAAGGTAAGTGCACATCTGGAGGAACAGGGTAGGCAAAATAAGAGGTTCTGGGATAGAAATTGCACGGATATGAGGTTGGAGAGGCTTGAGCAAGGCGTCCAGGAGCAGTGGGGCCTGGAGGGTAGGGGTATAGAATAGGAAGACTTAGAACAGGGTAGGAACTGGGGTATGTTCAGTGGGGTAGGAAGCCCTATAGTTAGGTGAGTGAGGTCTGTAGTCAGAGAGTCAGAGGTTGTAAGATTTAGAACCAGAGGAATCTGGTACAAGGTAAAGTCTAGATTCTAAAATCAGAAGCATTTGGAGGCCAAGTTCTAGAACCAGAGGAATTTGGATCTGAAATCAAAGGAAACTGATTAGAAGCTGTGAGGCCTAGAAGCAGAGGAATTTATAGAGTAAGGACTAGAATTAGAAAAAGTCTAAAGACTGAGTTCTAGAACCAGAGGAATTTTGGTACCATAAGCTCTAGAATCAGAAGGAATTGGGGGAGGGGTTGTAAGGTCTAGAACGAAGGGACTTTATAAGGCAAGGTCTAAAATCACGTTTGAAGGCTGAATACTAGAGTCAGGATAATTTGGAGTCATAAAATCTGAGTGAGGGGGAGTTGGAAACTATGAGGTCTAGAACCAAGGGAACTTACAGGATACGGTCTTGAATTAGAAGACATTTGCAACTCAATTCTAGAATCAGAAAGAAACAGAAAATCAGATCTGGGATTAGAGGACCCAAGAGATCACAAGTCTAGAGGTTATGTAGTCTAGAACCAGTGAATAGTGGAGGTCATGAAGTCTAGTACCTAAAAGAACTGGAGCATGGTGTCTGGTTCTGGAAGAACTTGTTATAAGATCAAGACATGAATGCCATTTTATTTCTTTTTGATGGGGAAAATAAGTCCTGATTGTAGAAAATTAAAGAGGAATGAGTTGGGCCTCATGAGGTCTGGAATCAAAAATGATTTAGAAATTAGAAGGTCTGGATTTAGAACCAAATGTATCATAAATTGGGAAGACTAGAAAAACAGGAAACTTGAAGCTGTGGAGTTGTTGGATATAAGATCTAGAACCAGAGGGAGTTGGAGAGTGTGAGATCCAGAACAAGAGGGATTTATAGGGAGAAGTCTAGAACCAGAGGAAGTTAGAGTTCTAAAAGCAGTAGAATCTGGTGGTCATAGATTCTAGAGCCAGAGGGAGTTAGAGGTTTTAAGTCCCAGAACTAGACAATTTTTGGAGATTATGAGTTTTGCAAACAGGCAGAATAGGAGGTTGTGAGGTCCAGAATAAGAAAGATTTACAGGATATGAGGCCTAAATCAGACCATGTTGGAGGTTATGCAGTCCAGAACCAGTTGGAGGTCAGAGGTTATACAGTCTGGAACCAGAGAAGGTTAGAGGTTGTGTGGTTTGGAAGCAGAAGAAGTTGAAGGCTGCCACTGAAATTGGAAGACCACAGATGAAGCCAATGTCCAGGTGGAGCTGGGGGCAGCAGGAAGTCTGAAGCAGAAGGGGAAGACAGAGCTGGGTGGCAGCCTGGGAGGCTGAGTTCTTTTTTTTTTTTTTTTTTTTTTTTGAGACGGAGCCTCAAGCTATCTCCCTGGGTAGAGTGCCATGGCATCATGCTCACAGCAACCTCCAACTCCTGGGCTCAAGCGAGTCTCCTGCCTCAGCCTCCCAAGTAGCTGGGACTACAGGCGCCCGCCACAATGCCCGGCCATTTTTTGTTGCAGCCATCATTGTTGTTTGGCAGGCCCGGGCTGGGGATTCGAACCCGCCACCTTAGGTGTATGTGGCTGGCGCCTTAGCCGCTTGAGCCACAGGCGCCGAGCCAGGAGGCTGAGTTCTTAATCATAAGTTGCTGGGGGTGAGGTCTGGCCCAGAGCCTCCCCCAGGGACACCTGAGGATGGGGGAAGATCAGAGTCCCACATTCTTCTGGACTCTGAGAAATCTGTAATGATTTAAAACCATTCTCATGAAATAAGCAAAAATAAAAATAATAATAAAAGATAGAAAGAAATTGATTATGGTTATACACACTCCCCAGAACCCAAAAACACAGCTCTGATCCGCAACCCTTCCCACCCCTATTCCCCAAAATAAAGCCAAGAGAATCTGGAAAAGGAATAATGAGGTAACCAAGTACTAAGAACCCCAAGGGAAGTCCTGAGTAGAGGAGGGGGCCAGGACCCCCTCCCAGAGGTCACTGAGCTAATACCCCAAAGAGCCCCCAGACTGGGAGCAGGCAGAGGGGTGAGGGCTGAGGTAGGCCCGAGGTGGGCGGGGGACACTCTGAGAAGAGAGGTGGCCTCTCTCCTGGCACCCCCATCCTGTGCGTTGGCTGCTAACTTGGAGTGTGGTTGAGGTCCTTGCTGGGGGAGGAGAAAGGACAAGGTAAGAGGGGCTGGCTCAGTGGGTCTGGGCCAAGCCTGCGCCTGGCTGGAAGTGGCTCCCGGGCTGGGCAGTGTCCTCATCCGGACAGAGAGAGAGCAGCGAGGGGCCTAGGCCTGTGGGGGAAGATGGAAGATAAATAAGTGGAGAATTATCAACCCAAGCTGTCTTCCCTTCCTGGGCATGCAAAACTTGGATGGTGAGACAGGTCTGCCTGGATTTGAACAGCAGTGAAATCTCTGGAAAGTCCAGTTCTCAGGGCCGTAGTTAAGAGCCCAAGTCTGGAGCCAGATGCTGCTCTTGTTTGAATCCAAGTGATCCCAAAGATGAATCAACACACAAAGGTCTGGTGCCTAGGTGAAGTCTTAAAGTGGCATAAAGATTAGTGAGTTTCAGATCCAGCGTGGTTGATCCAGTCTCTTCCCCTCCCCTAGACCAGCATAGCTCCCTCCCTTGGGGATCCATATCACCCCCTGAGGGAAGGAGGGTGTGCTACTTACTTGCTGTGTGACCTGGGACAGGTGACTTCACCTCTCAGTCCCCTCATGTGTAAAATGGGCTAATAACAGTACCTCCCTCCCAGGGCTGTTGTGAGGACTAAATGAGTAAATCCAACTAAAGTGCTTTGAACAATCACTAGTACTGGTGAGCGCTCAGTGAGTGAGCTGTTATTACTTGGGAAATGGGGATGGTAATGCCCACCTCATTGTGAACATATATTTATTGAGCACCTACTATGTGCCATGCACTTTGCCAAGTGCTGGGGGACACGGCAGTGAGCAGGATGGATGAACTCCCTGCCCTCACAGGGCTGACAGTTCAGGGAGGGGGACCAATTGGCCCATGTACATAAAGGATTTAGCAAAAAGCCTGGCATAGAGTGAGTACTTGAATGTTAGCTCTTCATTTACAAAGATGTTCTGGGGACTTTCTCTGTGCCCAGCCACATGCACAAAGTAAAGTACAGCAATGACCAAGACAGCACTGGGCTCCTGCACTCACCCATCTCATACCTGCTGGGAGAAGACAGCCAGTAATCACATAATGACACAAATGCCTGTATAACATAGGCCTGATCTTTCTCTGGAGGATAATAGGGAGCCATAGAGGGTTTTGAGCAGAGTGGGGCCAAGGTCAGGTTCATACTTTGGAAAGATCCCTGTGGTTGACGCCTGGAGGCTCCAAGTGGAGCTATGGCTTTTAAGAGCTGCATGAAAAATAATAAAGCATGGCGTTATAAGCCGTGAGTTTATGAAGGAAGGGAAGCCCTTGTGGAAGGAGTAATATTTTATCTGAGATCTAAAGTATGTGGGCATTTGGCAAAAAGTAGAAGGAAAAACATTCCAGGCAGAGGGATCAGGATATGCAAAGTGCTGGAGGCAGCCTTCTCAAGCAAGAAGCTATTGGCAATGCCCTACAGAGAGGCTCTATGCAATCTTCTCCCCCTTCTGTCCTTTTCTCTCTGCTTCAGCCACACTGGTCTGGCTTTGCCCACCTAATACAGATACACTCCCACCCCAGGGCTTTTGCACTTGCTCTTCCTGCTACCTGACACACTTTCCCCCTAGATATCATCAGGGCTCACTCCTTCAGGTCTATGCTCAACTATCACCTTCTCTGTGAGGTCACCTTGATCATAACTATTTGAAAACTGAAATCCTCTCACCCTAGAGCTCTCTCTTCCCTTGCATGTGTTATTTCCATAGGAGCACTCGTTTTCATCTCTATGCTATGGTCTATTTCCCACACTAGAATGTCAGCTTCATGAGGGCAGGGATTTCTGTGCATTTGTTTACTGTTCTAGGTGCTGGACACATACTTTGTGCTCTATAAATATTTGTAACATGCACAAAGGAAGGAATAAACTGAAAGATGGTGATTGTGGCTGAAACGGAGGGTCTGAAGCAGGGTGTGGCCTAAGATGAGGCAGTAGCCATACCCCAAAGGGGATTGAGTCCAAGCTTGATCTTTCTTTGAAGGGCAAGAGGGAGCCATGGAAGGGTTTTGAGCAGATGAGGGCCAGGGTCAGGCCGGTGCTTTGGAAAAATCCCTCTGGTTGATGCCTGGAGGTTTCAAAATGGCTTTTGAGAGTTGCACGAAATATGACAAGCACAGTGGTTTGTCTAGTGTTCCACGGAGCCCCACAGCCATTGGGCAGACATTTCTTGAGTGCTTATAACATAACATATCTTAGGCTAAAGCCCTTTTGGTGTGGCATCTTCATGAGTCTTCAAAACATCTCATTTGGGTGGCGCCCATATCTCAGTGGGTAGAGCACCGGCCACATACCGAGGCTAGAGGGTTCAAACGTGGCCTGGGCCAGCTAAAACAGCAATGATAACTACAACAACAAAACAAGATAGCCAGGTGTTGTGGCAGCCACCTGTAGTCCCAACTACTTGGAAGGCTGAGGCAAGAGAATCACTTAACTCCAAGCATTTGAGGTTGTTGTGAGCTGTGACGCCACAGCACTCTACCCAGGGCAATAGCTTGAGACTCTGTCTCAAATAAACAAACAAACAAACAAAACATTTCATTAAGGCAAGAGTTCACGATAGGCCCCAATTGGCAGAAGCAGCAGCTTTCACAAAGGCACAGATGGGAATGGCCATGGCGGGATTCAAGCCAAATTCAGTCAAAAAACCAAGGCTTGGTGCCTATAGGTCAGAGGCTAGGATGCCAGCCACATACACCAGAGCTGGCGGGTCTGAATCCAGCCCAGGCCTGCCAAACAACAATGACAACTACAACCAAAAAATAGCCAGGTGTTGTGGTGGGCGCCTGTAGCCCCAGCTACTTGGGAGACTGAAGCAAAGGAATCGCTTAAGGCTTTAAGCTCAAGATTTGGAGGTTGCTGTGAGTCCTGATGCAAGGGTGACATAGTGAGACTCTGTCTTCAAAAAAAAAAAAAAACCAAGGCTTGGGCCTGTGTACCAGCCCATGTAGCCTATGGCTAGGAGGAGTGAGAGTTATAAGAAACACCTGTATAGCTCAATAATGGAACATCTTGGTGAAAAGGGCATGGGGAGGGATTTAGCTCTCTTAACAAGCATGAAAGCTTGCAAGATGAAAGCATTGGTGAAATTGGAGTGTCTACACCTGTAGAGTTAAGCGCCACAAGATCAGCTCTATATTAGGCTGCAGGAGAAGGCAGTCAGGAGTACACATTCTTTTTTTTTTTTTTTTGAGACAGAGCCTCGAGCTGTCCCCCTGGGCAGAGTGCC